TACTCTACTCTACTCTACTCTACTCTACTCTACTCTACTCTACTCTATTCTATTCTATTCTATTCTATTCTATTCTATTCTACAAGACTGGACAGGGGAAACCTTCTATGTGTAGAATTGCCCAAATCACATGTTTTGATAGAGAGAAGTTCAGGGAGAATGGGCTCCAGCACAACTACGAAAGCTTGGAAGACTAAACTCTGGTCCCAATCACCAGAAATTCACAAAAGTGATCACATGACCCGAGGACACTACAGCCTTCATCAATATCGGTAGTCCTCGACTTACAACAGTTCACTTAATAATTATTCGAAGTTACAGGGGCACTGAAAAAAGAGACTTATGACCATTTTTCACACTAATGATCTTTGCATGTGATCAAAATTTGGATGCTTGGCAATTGCTTCATATTTATGACGGTTGAAGTGTCCAGGGAGGGTCCCCTTTTGCAACCTTCTACCAAGCGAAGTCAATGAGGAAGCCAGATTCATTTAACAAATGTGGCAAGGGAAGTCGTAAAATGAAGAAAAACTCACCTAACAAATTTCTCACTTAGCAACATAAATTTTGGACTCAATTATGGTCGTAAGTTGAGGACTACTGTAAAGGCAGGATACTATTAATAAATGAAAATAAATAAAATACAAAGTTCAAAGGATAAAAAGAAAACAGATATGACCAAAACAAGAAAAACAGAGTAAGAAGAAAAACCGAAAAACACGCATATACTAAAGAAAAAGAAAAGAAATATATGAAGAAATGACTTCCCCCTTCAGCACAAGTATAAATAACGTTAGTAACTTATCACCTTCCAAGAAGCAAAGGTTTTGTGGTCGACTGTCAACTATATCTCAATGCTATTCTGATTCACTTGTTTAACAAATTAAACTTGAGGTCAAAATTCCCCCATTTTTTTCTACGCAAGCAAAACTGAACTGGACCCCACATCTGAACAGACTATGGTTTAAAAATAAAAACACTGACGCAAACGTCATGCTTCTTTTCAAAAAGTCAGCCGAGAAAAAGTCATTTCCTCTTTTTCTCTCTAACAACCCTGAGCCAGATGAAGAGCTGAGCTGTCTCAGCAGCTAAAAGAATGGAAAGAGTCGACCTAATCATTTTTACTCGACTTTGGGTTATTCCGCAATTACATCAGGCGTTTACTACAAAACGATCAATCTATAAAGGCTTTTTAAGGAAATCGAAAACAAACTGGGTCAGCAAAGTAGAGCAGCGGGAAATTCAGAAGTCGACGGGATTTCAGAAGTAAACAGGTGAAAAGAGATGGAGACACATTAACTGCAATATTTGTTTCACTGACAAATACTGACAAAGCAGAAGCTTAACAGAATACAGAGTTGGAAGGGATTTGTAAGTCATCTAGTCCAGCCCCCCCCAAGCAGGAGACCCTCCGTGGCACATGGAGCCATATTGGTGGGCAGGCGAGCATTGCCCAAGCTCAGCTCCAGTGCACCTACGCGCACTGGCCAGCTGACTTTTGGGCTTTCAGGTCCCACCAGAAGTCAGCAAACGGACCATTTCTGGCCTCCAGAGGGCCTCCGGGGAGGTGGGGAAGGCTGTTTTTGCCCTTCCCAGGCACCTAGAAAACCTCTGGAGCCTGGGGAGGGCGAAAAACAGGCCTACCTGTGCCATCACTGCCCTACACCATTTCTGACAGATGGCAGTCCAGTCTCTTCTTGAAAGCCTCCAGTGATGAAGCTCCCACAACTTCCAAAGGCAACTTCTGTTCCATGGGTTGATTGTTTTCATTGTCAACCTTATTTCCAGGTTGAATCTCTCCTTGTTCAGTTTCCATCCATTGTTCCTTGTCTGGTCTTCGGGTGCTTTGGAGAATAGCTTGACCCCTTTCCTCTCTGTGACAGCCCTCAAATATTGGAAAGCGAGCCAGTGTCCTTAAAACACAAATCTTAAAATTGTGTTAAGACAATCACCAAGATAGGACATTTTCATCTTGTTTACTTTGCAGCATGTGTCTTATATATGTAGATGGATT